GGGCGGGGGGCGGCGGCGGTGGGGGCGGTGGACTGACCGTGGCTTTAAGTGCGTGGATGCTGTGAGAGCGGGGGAAGCCCATGGAGGTGAGGATGGCGATGCTCTCCTCTGGAGGAGAGTTGTCCAGGGGGGTCGCACCCATGGGGCTGTCGCTGGTGGAGGGGCCGGGGTCCAACATGGAGGGCAGAGTGAGGGGCTCAGCAAAGTCTGAGGAAGAGACCACAACAGCCAATCAGATCAACTGCACCTGTGACTCTGACTTCCATCCAGAAAAAAAAAGGAAAACTTTCAGTTTTATATATTCAGCGGTTTTCAACCTCGTTCACTCAGTGATTTATTAAAGAATTCAGAGACGAGGGGTTCAATTTATGGTGTGTGTGAATGTATATAAAGTCAGTGAATACACAACAACATCTGGACATTTATGGACAGTTATGGTCAATATGTTCAGCTACAGTGTGAAAACAGACGGTCCACGGTCAAACAGTACGTTTGCATCAAGTCCTGGTAAAAAAAACTTTGGAAGTTTCTGGAAGTTGTCAACACAACTGAGATGTGTTGACAACACACAGGTCGTCCTGGACATTTATAAGAGTTAGCCATAGACTAACAAACGCTGTGCGCCCCCGGTGGTCAGAGAGCAGAGAACTCGTTTGAATTTCAATATTTTTCTCTATTTGCCCGACGTTGGGTTTTTATTTTTATACATTTTGTTCAACTGTGTTCAAAGTTCAGCAGAGATTTGAAGCAGTAGATGACGTGTAGTCAGAGAACCACTGTGATTGGCTAACGTCAAGGCCAATGGTCCTGTCACCAAACACCAAGGAATGTTTTTAATGGATTCAGAAGTCAGTGAAGTGAAGAGGAAACAAGGACGCCGCTGCAGCGTGTGCTCCACCACCAAAACCTTCATTTGTCTCCTTGACATTACAAACCAGACACACCTGAATTCTTCCTCTATAACTTTTATCTCTATATTTAATTCAAGTTCAGCCAACGTTGTTTACCATCATCGTCATACTGGGTAATTAAAATGAAAATTAAATGATTTGTTTTGACTTTTTACAAGAAAATCCTACAAACACAGTAATTATTACGGTGGCATTTTTTTCTTTTTTTTTTTTTTGCTGGTGTTAATTCATCTGACTAACTTCAAAACAAACAGGAGGGGGGGGTCGAGGGAGGAGGAGGAGGGGGGGTTGCCCTCATTTTCTCCCCCCACTCAGAGAAATGAATGTGACACGAGTTGAAGCCACAGGGAAACTGCAGAGAAACTGCTGAGAGACGGAGTCAGCACTGACACCGTTTTAGAAACGAGGGTGACATGGTATTTACAACGACAACAACAACAACAACAACAACAACAACGACAACAACAACGACAACAACGACAACAACAACAACAACAATAACAACGATGACAACTACAACAATGACGACAACAATAACAACGACGACGATAACAACGTCGACAACAACAACAACAACAACGAGGACGACAACGACGTCTGTGTGTTTACGTTTGTGTCCTGTTGAAGTGACGCCTCCGTGTGTTTTCTCCTGACTCAGGGATAAATCTTTATAATAATTAAACTCTTTTGATGGGCAGGTGTTATATATTTGAGCTCAAACGTTGTGTTTGTTGATCGACAGAAACACTGACCCAGGACGTTGGTGAAGCTGCAGCAGAAACATATTTCGCAGACGTGCAGCTGTTGTTGTAATTATTTGTCAGCATTATTTTTAGTTTCTGCTTCAGCTTCGTTTCTAACACCTGGACACTCAATTATCACCACTGCTATTTCTGGAGACTGTTACTGAAATAAGTGAGTTTCCCAGAGGTCGCGACCCAGCTGGACTCCTACAGTTATAGATGATTATTATGACTGAAAAACCTGAGAGAGGATCAGGTCTGGGTTCATCTTTCACTAACACTCTCACACCTCACCCTGTGACTGTGTTCTTTGGGTTTGATGACTCTCCCTTTCTTATCTAGACACAGAAAAGTTCTCTAGAGCTGAAGAGTTTCAGTTTTGTCTGATTGGACAAATGTTGTCCTTTAATGAAGAACAAATCTGAGGCTGTCAACTAACGGTCAACACTGTGTTCAGTTCATCTGAACCAGACTGACACGAGAAAAATGATTTAATTACATCCTTTGTTCTTCTTCAGAGAAAATGATTTTTTATGGTGTTGTATCTAAAAGTTTAGCCAAAGTTTATATGTCGTTTTCAGGGGGTGAAAAAAAATAACTTGAATTTTTGCATCATTGTGCTTTAAGTAAAACATAAGCTTCAGAAATAGGGCATGACGTTTGGAGAGCAGAGGTACTGCAGTCCTCACCAGGCTCCTCCATGTGAGCTATGATCCAGTTGAAGGCCATCTCTGGGCCCATGTTTCCTGTGTAGTAGACCGCCTTCCTGCAGGCCTCCAGGGGGAACCCCATCTCCGCCAGCTGCATCACGGCCACCTCGTCTATTTCTGGAGCTGAGGACACGAAACAACATCAATACCCTCAAACGCAGGTCTGCTGATTCAGCACTTCTACAGTAACCCTCTGGTTAGTTCCACCAAACTCGCTGGTCGTTCCTTCTCTCCTTGGGCCTCATTAAACACAGAGACTAAAGGAGGCTGGGCCTGGACGGATGATCCATCAAGGACAGACACAGCTGCAGCTAAAATATGAGGAGGAAAAGTGCAGTCGGCAGTGGCAGCACCTGGTGTTCAGGTGTTCACGTGTTCACGTGTGACTCCCAGCTCTGCAGCATCCATCACTACTGCCCTGCACCTAAACTACGTTCTCTCTGTGTGTGTGTGTGTGTGTGTGTGTGTGTGTGTGACTCCATTCCAAACACATAGTGTAGTACAAGGAGAGCAGAGAGGAAGAAATCAAATACTCACAGTCTGTGGAGGCCATTGAGTTATCTGAAAGAGGAGAAGACAACGGTTTCAGACGGTTTTCAATGTCCTCACTTCAAAGGTGTGACTGTTTTTATATGTCTGTAATCCTCATCTGATTCTCTTTCATACGGACAATGACTGACAGACGCAGCAGACATCAACAGACAGACAGTCAGTCAGTCAGACAGACAGACAGACAGTCAGACAGACAGACAGACAGTCAGACAGACAGACAGACAGTCAGTCAGTCAGTCAGAAATCAACAGACAGTCAGACAGTCAGACAGTCAGACAGTCAGTCAGTCAGACAGTCAGACTGACAGACAGACAGACAGTCAGTCAGTCAGACATTCAGACTGACAGACAGACAGACAGTCAGTCAGTCAGACAGACAGTCAGATGAATGGCTGCTGCCTGACTTTTCTTTCCTCCGTCCTCAGACTCCCGTTGTTCTCTAATCACGACTGTCTGCTGCAGCGTCATCGTGTCAGCGTCAGTCATCATTTATTCCACACCCATATGGAAATATTGTGACTATTTGTGACTTGAAGACTTGAAGAACACCATGTGTTTGAAGAAAACACTGGAAAAATGATGATGTGTAAAATGTCACATTTACAGCAGGTTTTTTTTCTTTTTCAGCAGAATAGAATTAAATATAATTGAATATGAAAATGTAGTCGTGAGGAAAAGAAAAAATGTCGTTGTTAGATGAGGTGCTGGTCCAGATTGTTTATATGCAGAGAGTAATTTCCCTCAGGGATCATTAAAGTGCTGGGGGAGTAGGGGCTGTATAGCGCCCCCTGTATGAGTGAGAGAAGATGCTAAAGATCTCTGCCTACCATAAAAACTGACACAACTTGACAAAGGAAATAATGTGCAGCTAGATTAAGATGAAGAAATTCATTTAATGAAAAAGGCGACAAAAAAACCCCATCAGTCAGAGACGAGGTCTAATGAGCTCTGATGACATCATCTGACTGGAGGGACTAATAAAGGAGGGAGCCAATCAGAACAAAAACAACAAAAAACAATGAAAAACTTAACGACTGAACTGGGACTGAGTTTCAATTTAGTCAAAAGATGAAACAGAAAAATTTGACTGTCAAAATTAACACAAACACAAATCTGAAGTTCCTTTAGTCGCCACCTGCTGGTCAATCAAGGTACTGAAATAAACTCAAGTTTTTTAAAGTAAAAAATAATTTAAAAAATAAAGAAAGCTGAAAACCAACTTCTACACAGATAAGGAATTTTAATGACTGGTTTTGTGAAGTGAAAGAAAAGACCAGATGAGACCGAGCCGTGAAGAACTGTGGTTCAAGCGTTTTAGAGGAAAACGCATTTATTTCTGGGCTGTGTAATCAGTCAGAGGCGCCAAGGCTTTTTGGGGGCAGATGGCTGACCAGTGATTAATAAATGCTGAGGGATAATAGAGCGGGAGGGGCGGGGTGGTGGGGGGGGGTAACGTGCAGCTGACAAACCTGCTCTTATGAATGAAAAATGAATAAATCAGCAAATTCAGTGAGAGCAGCACAGTCTGCTTTCATTCAAACACAGAAGTGCAGAGTTTGAACACAGGAAAGTGTTTCCACCTGTGAGTGCAGTCAGCAAAAGAACTCAATGGATCACATTCACACACACACACTTCACCAGGCAAACACCAGTGTTTATGTGAGAGCCACTTCAGTCTGGGGACGAAGAGTTCGGTGCTCGTCGTCGTCGTCGGCCTAACGTTCCTGTCAAACCTCAGTATTCCTCCGTGGACAGACACGAGAGGCACAAACAGTGTTTTATGTTGAGCTTCAGGCGGCACAGCACAGTCTGTGCTCCATGAGCGCTAAAATATTGAGGACACGACGACTGGATGCAGCAGCAAACAACAGAGGGAGGAGATTTACAACCACAGACAGAGAGAGAGAGAGAGAGAGAGAGAGACACCGCCTGAACACAAGCCGACACCCAGGTTCACTGTGTCTAAGGCTGAACATATATATCACTACATAAAGGCGTGATTCCATAACGATCTGGTTTGTTCATAAAACCCTTCCAGTTCTGTTCTCCCAGTGGCTGGACGGCCGTGTTACAACGAGCCTCATCAAATCAGGATCACTTATTAGGAGGCCAACAGCACCGGTCGTCAGTAATTGACTGAGCACGGCTTTCATCGTGGGATTCCATTCAATTTACCCCCGAGAGGAAACTTCATTGGCTTTGAGCACAATATCATATTGAAGACAATTTCACAGATCATTTAACACTGTCACAAAAAAAAAAAAAAAACCACCGCCCCTCCTTATAAGGAGGTTAGATTTCCGCTGCGGAACGACACACATCTGGTCCAAGGAGCAAAGATTCATCCATTTGTTTGGGTAGAATTTGTAAGAATAATGCTGCACCAGACGTTAAGGTGAGTTGATAAAAACAACCTGGGAATTTAACTGAAGGGACACAAACATCTTCAGTTATGATTTTAACTCCTCTCTCACTATGAAGTGGCTACACAAACCCAGAGGCCAAAGGTCGATGTGATACAGCGCACGTGGTCTGACTCCAACAGAAATCACGCCAACGATTTTTCACAAAACACAGAGGCTCAAATCAAAGAGTGAACTTTACAAACTGGTGATGAACATTTTGTCTGTTGTGTTTCCGTACCTCTGGTGTCTTCAGGAAGCACGATTGGAGGCATGAGGTCGGGCAGCTCCTCCTCTCCCGGCTGCAGCCCTGTGGCCCGTAATCGGTTCAGATCCAGGAATTCTGGAACATCGATGGCCAAGTCTGTATGAGGAAAAAAAAAACATAGAACTGTAAAAATAATAATAATAATAATCAAATAAAACACTGATCATTTCAGTGTGTTTTTATCCTAACATGGCTCTGGTAGTCAGCTGAGTAAGAAATCAGACTGACAGTAATAAAAGTGTGTCATCCCTGAGTCAGTGTGTCATATTTACACACTCGTACGTCTGTGTCCATTTGAGCCTCAGTGTTTTCTAACAGCAAAGACCAAAGGAAATGATGATGAAAGGGTTTGGAATGTGTTTAGAGAACGACTGATCTGATCTGAGTCTGATCTCAGTCTGATCTCAGTCTGATCTGAGTCTGATTGGTTTCTAGGTGAAACAACAACAACAAGATGTAATTATAGTATTGTATGTTCTCTTTTTTCTGGTCAGAAAATTCCATAAATAACATCAATAAAGATTATATACAAGTATGCAAGATCATAAATTAAATAAAAACTATATTTACTTCAGAAATATATTGAGAAAGTTTAGCTTTTGTGATGCTGTCGAGTGGAAACCAGCGTTTTACCTTGGTAAGGGTTAACAAGCATGGACTTATACTGCCCCCTGCTGGGCTTATTAACCACTGACAGTGAAGTACTTCCAGTACAAGTCCTCTCATTATTGGAGATGATTGGAGAACAACACAGCTGCTGTTTGTCAGCTGTAAGTCCAACAGATACGAACCTAACTTTTTTGGCACCCAGTCGAGACCGAACGTGAATTTCTTGATCTGCACGACCAGATACTCTGGGAAGGAGGCAAAACGGGAGGTTCTGCAGGGCCAAAAAAAAACACACACTTAGAATAAATAAATGAATGAATGAACGTGAATGTGCAGTAGTCATTGTTGATCCAGCGAGGACTGACTTGACACCAGCTGACTTGGCTTGTAAGGCTGAGCTCCAGAAGTCCGGCACATTCTCTGGCTCGGTGAAGGCCTGCAGACAGGCGGTGAAGGGGATCCGTGCTCTGACCGGCTCTGGAGGAGGCCTCGTGTTCTCCTCCGCCTCCTTCCTCTTGGCCTCGAAGGCAAGCAGTTCCTCTGTCGGTAACAAAAAGAGCGACAACGTGGTCACGTGTTAACCTGCTGTTTAAAGTAAGTTTTTTTAATTAAGTTATTTTTATATATTTTTGAACAGAATCCAGAATCTTTATAAAACTCATTTCCCAGAACAGTTGGTCCTGGTCCATGAAAAATAAACTACAATCTGGAGTTTGGAAACTCATGGAGCTTCATCCAACAACAGAAGAGACTAGAATGACAATCAGTAGTAATACTGTAGTACTGTAGTACTGCAGTACTGTTTACTGTACTGTACACATAACGTGTGCGTCTTCATGTACCACGGTTGGTGGCAGCCTCGATCGGGGCCGGCAGTTGGATGCAGTAGTCCACCCTCTGTGAGTATCGCACCCGACGTGATTGACAGCACTGAGTTCTCTCCTCCACCAGAAAACGAAAGACGTCGCTTGGATTCTCTGAGCCAGCGCTGTTCCTCTGCAGGAACGAGATAAAAGTACAGAAGAAGAAGAAGAAAAAAAATGACTGTGACTCTGTCTGAACCTGACAGTTAGTCCCTGATAATTCAACTATTATTATATTTAAATTAAATATATATATATATCAAACACAGCTGCCTTTTCTAAACCATGTTCATCTGCAGTATTTCTAACCCAGGACAAGGCCTTAACTCTGACAGTATCAGTCAGACGAGGCCTTAACTCCGACAGTATCAGTCAGACATGATTTTCACTCTGGTCTCCAGAACAACCGCTGCTGCCTGACCTACATCTCTTAATAAAGTCGTTCATTATGCAGATGAAAATGTGGCTCTTAATTTAGGACGAGCCTCAGTGAAGTGTCTCCTCATTTGGAGCGTTGGATTTTTATCAGTAACACTCACATGAACTCCCGCGGTCGTCAGGTCGCTGAGGTCTACACTGTTTATTTGAAGACAGTCCTTCTATTCTGAGCCGACGCAGAAATGCAATACAGTTACAATTTTTAACTCTGGTCAAGAACGTGGACTGACATGGACGGAGGAAAATGTTGCTGATGGAGCTGGAATTAGTCTGATTGACTTGATCGCAGCTCTCTGTAAACTAGATGTTGTAAAATAAATAAAATAAAATAAACAAGACTGACAGGGTTTGATGAAGGAACTGCTGGCAGACCAAATCCAAACTGCTGGAGAGTCAGCGCTCACATCCTGTGGCTGAGGCAGAAATAAAGCTTTATCTGGGCTCACTGTGTGACAGATAGCACTACACTATATATAACCTGTCTGAGAAAGACACATCAGAGCGAGTCATGTGACTGAACCAGGCAGAGGCAGAGTGTCTTGTCAAAAACAAACCCCCCCCCATCAGCTGCCGGCCCATGTGTGTCAGAGGTCAGCTGAGAGATGTAGAAAACTGTTTTTGTGTAAAAAAAACATTCAAATAAATTCACTAAAAAGAATCAGAAAAAAAAGCTAATTCATGCTGTACTTCCTGCTCCTTCTGTTCCATTTATTGTTAACGTGAACAACTTTCTCTCCACTCACCTCCACCAGGTTGATTACGTGAAGGAAAAACTCCTGAGCATCCTGTTGTCTGTTGGAGGTGAACTCAGGGTGACCTCTGCTGACCATGGCCTTAAACATTCTTGGGGAGATGCCTTTCTGCTGGAACTGAACAACAAAGATTCTGGGATTAGTTTAGAACATACTGAACATCCACACATCTTTGTAAACAGACAGACTGACTGACTGACTGACTGACAGACAGACAGACAGACTGACAGACAGACTGACAGACAGACTGACTGACAGACAGACAGACAGACTGACAGACTGACAGACAGACAGACTGACAGACTGACTGACTGACAGACAGACAGACTGACAGACAGACAGACTGACAGACTGACTGACTGACAGACTGACAGACAGACAGACTGACAGACAGACAAACAGACAGACAGACAGACAGACAGACAGACTGACAGACAGACAGCGCTCTCAGAAAAGAAGCAATTCTTCCATAATAAAACAATATCATTTTCTAAAGATTTAATAATAACAAATATTTGTTATTATTAAATTGAAAAATATTGAAAAATAATTGAAAATATTATTATATATTTTAGCTCTGATTATTAATGTCAAATTGGCAAATACATTTTTTGTCAGATAAACACATTTTAAAATTTTAAAATGCATTTGTTTTTTTCAAAAACAAAACACAAAAAAACAAATGAACTAATTAAATTAAATTAGGAGTTTTGTCCGTACATTCTTGCTGCATGAGTGACATCAGCAGCTCAACAGTCAGTCTGTATCAAAACTACCAAACTGTTCTGGTTTGATTTGTGGAGAATTATTAAATATAGAATCTATTAATATAGAATTAAGAGAACATTTCCAAACTAACAGATGGCAGTGGCCTCCACTTAGTCTGAGCTAGAACACAGACGCTACACAAACAAAGTAGTTTAGTCTTCACCAAAGTCTTCATCAAAATCTTCACCAAAGTCTTCACCAAAGTCTTCACCAAAGCACCAACGTGTTAGTACGTTCACTGAAGAACCGCCCAGAACTTTATCAAAGTGTTTGTTTCTTAACGTTTGTTAATGAAAGCACGATAAAAACATCATCAAACCACAGATATTATTTTCATACAATTTAAAGGAAATAACAGTTGTGTGTTTACATGGTCAAATAAAAACATCTCGGCGTCAACGTCCGTCTTAAAGGACGCCTCGTACAGCCAGTTAGAAACGAGGGACTGTGTGTGTGTGACAGTAACGGGTGAAATGACTGAGGTACAGACTGAACACAGCACATGCCAACACCAGCCCCGGCCCCTCGTCCCCCCCCCGACCGCAGTCCATGTGCGGCCAAAACCGCCCCCCCCAGCAGGAGGAAGTGCAGCAGCAGATCTCAGATCAGTTACCAGAGCTGAAGAGCTTTGAAAGAAACCCAACGCAGCACCACATCCCAGTTTGTTGTTGTTAGGGCTTTTTATCTTCTGATCAACAGTTAACGCAGGTGTTTACATGCTACGCTTAGAAAATAATAATCAAAAAAACATATATATATATATA